GCCTATATAATCCCTTTTGGGGAAAAAATGGCAAATCTTGTCAACGTGCGTTAGAATTATGTGCAAAAAATCCCTAACAGTAGGATTTTTTTTTTTTTTTTTTTTGGGGGGGGTGGTTCTAAGGTCATTCATCATGTATTTTCAGTGCAGCTTTGTAGGTGTTGTTGCTGTTGACTCCGGAAAAGAGAGGGATGGCATCCCGAGATTCCTCAGTCCGTAAGGAGGTCATTTGTTCATCCACCTTTCGACCTGCAAGCTCAGACTGGGAGCTGCTGTAGCACCTCTCAGCTCACCATGGGACTCCTTTGTGGTTCTCCTTTACGAGCCACAGCAGGCTCTAGCCTGGCTACCAAAGGTACTGTGCAGTTTAGCAGCATCAGTCCCATAGGATATACRGCTCTATATGGTGTTAACTTGGAAATGGTGTCAAAGGAAGACCTGAATTAGAAAAGGACGAGACAAGAATGAAGGTCRTGGGAAAAGATAAGTCTTGTGGAATTAACCTGACAGAAGGGGTTAAAAAACAGAGAAAAGCCTAATCACAACTTGATGTTTGTAGTCATTTTGTAATTAGCCTCTCCTTAAACAGTACCATTGAAGATCACTTGCAAATGTTGATATTCATTGAAAACACTTGCTATGTTTTGCCTGTCTCAGAACCCAAAATGCTACATGATGGAACCTGAGCAGGAGGCAAAAAAASAGGGACATTTTGGAGACTGAGAAATGGGGGTAGTTGAGACCACCCGCCCCTCTGCTTAATGCAGAGAGTGCACTGAGGRTTATCACAGTGGTGCATTAGCTCCCGCCTCTAGTCACACACGGAGCAGCTCACAAGCTCTTCATCTGTGGTTATCCTCTGCACTTTGCTCTTCGTCAGGAGCAAGATGAATAATTCCCTTAACTCTCTTCCTCCCCAAATTAAACAATTCACAAACTTGAACAAGAGCCGAGACTTCGCTGCATATTCCTCAACAGACGGGACAGAAATTCTCTCCGTGCTGTTTAAAGGAAAATGGCCTTTCCCACTCCAGTAGTGAAGCCCAAGGAGCGCTGTGGCTCCCTGCAGCAATGCTAACGCTGCTGCTTAGCCCCTCGCTCCCATCCCTACTCCCTTGGGCACCCGGCTTTCACCGGGAGGCACATGCATAATATTTGGATTAACTGCTCCTGTTCATCTACAGGGTAGGAAATAAACAGTGACCTGCTGCTGGCTGTGGAGAAGCAAGAAAGACTTAATCGYTTGCAAGGTTTAGCTACAATAGAGGCCTTCCTGGCAACTGTTTCCATCACTGCCACGTTTCCAGGGAAGATGGGGCCTACAAACAAACAGATTCATTCACATACACCTTGCAAAGAAAAACAATTAATGCACCAGAGAAAAAATCTGCTAAGTGACCCTTAAAACCCCARTTCTTCTTCCACATTTTCTGTTCTCTTAGAAATGGACAGGCTGAACTAAAAGAAAACACAAAGCAGAAAGCTGAAGGCGGGTGGGGAGGGGTGCAAACTTACAAACTGGAAGCAGCTTCGGACGCTSGGCTCGATGTTGCTGCCGCCGAAGGAGGCCACCTCCCCGAGCTGCCGCGGGATCTGGATGGAGTCGTGCAGGAGCAGCCCCAGGCGCCGCTGGTCACACAGGCCYGTGGCACTGGCCACCTGCTTGAACAGGTCTGGGGGGACAGAGGGGACACGGGCGCTGGGCCGGCCGGGCGCGAGGCAGCGCTCGCGACCACAGCTATGAATCTGCAACACGATTACCTGGGCGGTAACCTGGGCTGATCCACAGCAACATAAATGCTTTAAAAACATCGTTTAGCAGTAAAATCATCTTGTACATCACGCGCTACTTTTTTCAATTCTTCACTAGAAATATACAACTCGGACAACCCGTGTCTTTCAGGTGATGACTTGATCTGAGCAACAAGAGTTCTCTAACTTTGATCTAACATAAATCTTCTAATCCAACAAGACTTCTAAAATGGAAGTAAAACATGACAATATACAACCTGCCATCCATTGGGAATGATAATAGCATATGAAGTTTTCATTCATTCAGTGTTAATATCATTTAAGTATCAATTTTGAAATGAAACGCAATTTTAAATCATGTTCCATTACTGCTGCATTCTAGAAAAGAATCCTTACAGGACTGAATTAGCATCCTTCYATAAGCTCAATTGAGTTTGATGGGAATTAGTTCTACTACACACACATTGAGGAGGTTGTAATATTAAGAAAAATCAGGTTAGCATTAACTAAAATTTTTATTTGGTAATATTATGGACAATATCCCCACTGACAATACACGACCTGAATAAATTCTGCTTACTTTTCAAAGAGTTAAAGACAAAAGTGTGTGCATGAGAAAGAGAAGAGAAAGAGATGGCTAACATAAAATAATGTTTTTTCTTTTTATTTTCTTCTACATATTTCACCCTATACCCTGGATACAGCAGTGTCTGAAATAACTTTCATAGTGTATCTTTGACATCTGCTTTCTGTGAGCCTGTGGAAGGAACAGAGGAATGGGTAGAGAAGGGATTATTTTTAAATTACAGGAGTTTCACTCTTGCCAAGTCTATGCCTATTATACATAATTTTGGGGAAAATCCCCATCATAAAGAAGTTTGCAGTACCAGAACCAGCTGCTCTGCTGGACAGCTGCGAGGGGAGCGAATTTAAGGGATGGGCTGGGGCCACATCAGGTAGAGGCAGCAGGGGCAGCACGGCAAGAGCTGCAGGCCTGCGGCRCAGCTGGGGCGGCCGGACCGCAGCGTGGCAGAATATTCCTTCCTCCACCATGAACTATCCAGCTTTTAAAGGTTAAAAGAGAAATATGCACTATGGCCCATACACACTGCAAGAGACTGTAATATGAGCAAATGTTTTTCATGGTAACTTTTGTAATCCTCAGGAAACTATCATTTTTATGAATTATTTTAAGAATACCTATAGAGCTGGATTGGATCATTTTTTTTGTGTTTTTTTTTTCCAAAATGCTTTGTCCACAAAAAGCACCTGAAACATTGGAAGACCTAAACTGTGATATTCGTACTGATTTGTAAAATCTGACCCAATTATACACTCRGAATGGGTTTTCCTTCTTTAGCATTTTTCCATTGTCAGTAGTGAGACAACAAAATAATAAAAACTGATGAAACACTGAAGGTCTTGTTGTTAAACACATACGAGTGATATTATTTAATTTAACCACAAATTCACTATTGAAAATTGCTCTGATCTGGTGATCTTTCCCAGATTCCAGCCTCACTTTGAACTCATTCATTCGTCAACTATAAAATATACTAAGTCCAAGTGGAATCTTTTCAAATACTTCAGGATTTGGTCTATTAAAACATGCAGAATATTATATTGGTATATGCAGACACAAATACATGAAGCTGAAATTATGTGATTAAAATAAAGCAAAACAAAAAGTGTACTTTAGTGTGCTAAAAATCTAGTATACTTTAATAATCATTTAAAGACAGGAACTCTGTTTAAACATAATGTACACAATAAGACTCTAACCTCATTGTAGAAATCATTTTTAAAAGATAATGCATTTTAAAATGATGTAACGCAAGATGTCCTATAGATCAACATGTTCTTCTTTGATTGATTCTTCATCTCATTGTTTATACAGTTTCTACTCTGCTTTATTCAGCAGAAGTGTTTTCACCTTTTCTATGAAAGGTGTTAAATCTCAGTGTTTCAATTTGTCCAACTAAATACGTGGGCATGTACTTTTGTCTTTAGATGTGCTAAACTGCATAAAACAGTTTTAAAATACAGCTTGGAACAAATTAACATATTGTGAATCTCAACATTCCAAGAGAATACCTCTGTATGCTACTTAAAAGTCTATGTAGAAAATAGGAGAAATGAAAAGAGAAAATAAACGTAACTTAGAATCAAAAATCAAAAAAAAAGTGCACTACTTACATCTGTACTTATCTTCCAGATGTGCTTTACACAGGGATACAACACCAGTTTTGAAAGATAAGACACGGATCCTTCCTGTTCGCCCCCTAAGGAAAGAAAAAAAAAAAAAAAGCTTATGATGTTTGTATGTCACAAAATGTTTAGTATAACAAAGTTTAACATAGTACTATAGCCTTATTAAAGTCACACTAAAAATGATTTTGCATAGCACATATTGGCCTGTTATTATATAAGTTATAAACCAAAGATGAAATGTAGTTGTGTTTTMAGAAATGTAGCTGAATTTTGCACTGGTTTCAACTCAACTAGAAAGGATCTCCTTCCTTTCTTACCCCTCTCCTGTCCTTTTTTATGACAAATGTGACACTTAAGAATCTTTGCCCTATACTTACCTGAAAATGTCCGCTCTCTAAATTGTTACTGAGCTAGTTGCAGAGATGATGAGGGCTCTGATAAGACAGAAAGTCATTCCTTCTGCTGAAGACAATTTCACTTTAATTAGAAATGAGATGTGGTGGTCAATTTTAGAAAGTCTTTGGTTCCTGTCTGTCAACATTACCCTGACTTGTATGAGATGGCAGTACAGAGCTAGGCATGAAGCGCAGCCCATGCAAGCAGATGTGCAGGTGAATGATGAAGCTTGACAAAAAACAAGGAGAACAGGGGCAGGCTGTAGAATTTATTGCTGTTATTGTCACTGTGGTTTCTGATCTCCTCCTCATCACAGTCAAAGTCATCCTCTCAAAGTAGTTTAAAGGACATGGTTGGTAACATCACATCCATTCACATACTGCCTCTACTTAGTCTACTTTCAAAATTACTATTTCTGTGTAACATGACTGTGATATTACCATTCAATTATGAGGTGACTGTATTGAGAATATCATCCTGCACAGTATAGGCCACACTGGCAAACCTTCAGATCCTGTCTCAGCACCCAGGTTTGCTTCAATTTACTTGCWTTGCTGACTTCCCCTACCGCTTGTATTGCTGATAGCATTCCAATCTATGCTGTCTACTCCAAATGATGTGTGCACAGCACAGGAAGCCAATGTCTAACAAGTGCCTTTTTATAGCTGAGCTTTATCAATCATTTTGAACTCCATAGGAAATAAGAGAAACCATGTATAGGAATATCACATTCATGCATTAGGTTGCATTATTAAATGAAAACCAAGAAGTCTAAGAAAGCCAGGTGTTTTTTACAATCCTATGCAAATGTCTACAAAAGTTAACCGTTCATTTGCTCACATTTGTAACCTCTGCAACCCCTATGAACCTGGACACTGATGGAAACAGGTGAATGGAGCAGAATCTGGAATGTGCCTCCTACTGTTAGAGAATCTTGTGTTTCTAATTGTGAATAAGCAACTGTTGCTTACCCGTGCTTTCCATCCTCTGCTCCTTATTCTTTTATCCTCACTCCTCTCCCTGAAAACTCTTCCAAATTAATTATCCTCTGTGCCCTGAGAAACTCCTGCTGATGAATACCAGGCTCATGCAAATTATACAGGAGACAAGTGAAGAATGATTATCTCCCTGTAAGGCATATTTAATTGGAACCTGCATGAATCGAGAGTTGTTCTGTTCACTATGCTCCCCTCCCAAGTCAAACCAATGATTTAGCACGCTGCTGCAAATGAGCATGAGTGACTGATCAATTAAAACAACTCTGGAATTTCTGAATTTGCATGGCTGCATCCATAACCAGATCACACATTGATTCTGAATTTGATTAATATCTTAACAAATGATAGCTTTCTATTATACGAAAAGCAGAAATTTAGGACTTTTAACTAAATGTCCCCAATACTACTATGCACTTAGGGTGATCTTTGTCCATTAAGTTTACAACAAAATCTAAACATACGTAACTGTAAGGTTGTCTCTTTTACCAGCAAAATTCAAACTTGATTTTTGGCAAAATAGACGCAAGTTTCCCTCACACACAATGCACGTGTTTCATTAAGTCCTGCAAGATACACTTCCCTAGCATAATATCCAGGGAATTGCCTGGAGGCCGCCCATGATAATGCCTCACGATGCATCTCTCAGCACAGAGCAACATAAAGCCAGCTAGACTGGCAGATGATAAAAAAACCACATTACAGAACTTTAATGCAGTTCACAGTGTCAGCGCACACACAATAGCTACCGATGTCCTTCTATTTCCATAAGTAAATTATTATTCTGCTGTGGTAATGAGCACATCTGGCTCAAGAGAGCTGGTAAGAATCTTAAGCAACCCAGTAAAAACTTCCTTTGACTGACAATTTTATTTTTTTCACTAAAACTCACCAAATAAAAAATGGCTCRCTGCCAAATGAACATGTAAGGTTATGTGCTAGAAGTTGTCTATGCATTATGACCAATATCATAAATCCACTTAGTAGGAAAATACATTCATTTTCTTATGGTAAATTTACTCCATTGCTTCTGTGTCTACAGGAAGCCTTTTAAAATTGAATTTTAGAAGAAAAATTTCTCAGGCCTATGGACTGCTAAGCTTTGTAAACRTATTACAGGTCACCCTCTCTGAATTTTGAACAAGGGTTATAGATTGAAAGCTATAGAAAATGGATATTTTTGAACAGGTTTAACAACCAGATGTACAGACACATGGACACCCTGCTTATGTTGTTTTATACTGCTGCTTCTTGATAATTCTCTTATTTCCTTCAGATGAAGGTTCATTATCATTACATTTTCACTTCCAGCTACTGGCTTTCCAGCTCCAAGCCATTCACGCTGTAAGGARGGCAGGCAGCTCATTACCTTCAACCCCTTCCCCTTGTGCTGCTGGCCATTCTGGTCAGAGCAGTACGTTTAGAGCACCCGTACATACGTGTCATAGACATTCAGCAGCCAGTTGAGGCACATGTCCACACAGAGAGGAACATTGACCAGGTTGTTGTGCTCTTGTTCTAGYCGATCATAAATCGTGGTCAAGCAGTTAATGATCTGCAGAATATCCATTGGCTGGTCATTTTGTTTGAGGTTGTGCTGGTCCAAGGCATCACATGCAGCAGACAGACTCAGGAGATCCACTGTTAAATAAATGAATAAATAAATATATAAATAAACAAATAAATAAAGGTRCAGAGCCAGAGCAGTGATATTACCTTACCTAAAAGGCAAATACAGTTATAGCAATCTGCTTGGCTTGCACACCTGGCCAACCCCATTACAACCCTCTAAAAGCCACTCGCAAGAGCAGCTTCAAGGCTCCCACGGGTGCAGTGTTTATTCAGCTGCGGTCTCAGGCAGCAATGTTTATAAATCAGAGAAAAGCTTCATTTTTAGCTGTAAAGCACTCATTAGGCTATTGGGTTCTATGGAAACATTACTTAAGTAACTACATAAGTAAAAACTAAGTATTTCATGTTTTATATGCCAACAGATAGACTGATATTTGACCAAGGCAATCACTGTACATGGCCTGTGCATAGCACATGCCATCAACTCTTATGAGAAGTGCCATTCATTTCTACCAGACGTCAAGCAATCTTAACTGAGCCAAATTCCACAAGGGATATGCAAACAAATCACAACTGAACTGAGATTAACCTCTCTGTTACTCTTTCTCTGGTGAGAACAGCATAAAGAAGATTCGAGGAATGTTAAATGATCTATGKTTTATTTCTAATTTCAGAGAGCATCCATATTTAGGAAGAGATCTGTAGCATTATGACAAGACAAATTTAAAACTTTAGTCAATATACAAAAGAGTTTGCTGTCATAGGTATTTAAAATGTTGATTTTCATTCTCAATCCAGTCAGACATATTTTGAAAGCTGGATGTCCATGGCAAAACAGAACTTCCCTTAATCAACTCTGTAATTTTTCTTACTCTGTGCCTAGAAACCCTACTATCATCAGAGAATTTTGCTCTGACGTACCCAACAGCAGCATCACACTTTAAAGAGACCAAATCAGAGTTATGAGCCGCTGCTCTATAAAGTAAAATTGGAATCAAACAAAAACATAAAAATAAGACTGCCTATGCAGCTCTTCCTGCTGCCGTATGTAAACCCTGCACAGCTGGCTCCATGGCTCCATGGAACTGCCAGGAGGTGAGTGATGGGGAGACGGAAGCCCACATGCTGTTGGAATAAGTTTGGAATACAAATGTGCTTTATTGGATTCTGGCAACAACATCTCTTGGTGGTGTCACCAAAATCAGCAGCGCCAAAATGCAGAACCCATCCGGGGAGTTTTCACAACTGTTACCAGCAAAAGGGCACATTTGCCAAACCCGTATTTGAGTTCCCTAGAACCTTACCAAGAATTAAACTGCCCCTTTGTGTCCTAGCAGAGGATAAAAAATACTTCAGGAGTGTACTCAGTTGCAGGATAATAGTGCATGGTACTTTCGCTGGGATTTCACCAGCTCCAGAAGAATTTTAGGAATACACATTTCATTGAAAATCATTAGGGACTTCTGTCAACAAATCCCTTAAGCACTTCTAAAAAATCTCATCATATGTTCCTAAAATTCCCACTGCTAGGGGAAAGCTTGGAGTGCTATCCCTATTATTATATGAAATTTAACTTAGTATTTGTTGTTTAGTGGATGGTTTTAAAAGAATTTTTCTTTTCCTCATCAGCATAGGGATAGTTATTTTAAAAGCTTATTCTGAATATTAATTTATTGGTCACATCCAACAGGAGCATGTTTATCAACCTCCTTCCAAAGTGCCACAGAACAGCGTGCTTCTTCTAATCCCAATTCCTTAGGCACATCTGGAAAGCAGCAGCGCCCTCCCAACACCTTTAACTCGGAGCTTTAGGCTGAGCTCTCAGCTCCTTTGAGACGATGACTCAGTGGCAATTAAATGAAGCCCTTGGGCATCTGGATGGCAGCTTAATTACACACCCAGCTCCAGCTAAACRCGGGTCATTCCACCCCGAGAGCTTTTCACACAACTAAGCAGCATCTTCCAAAAAGTCTTTGACCCTGCTCTTCATCAGCCTGCTGTCCTATCTTGAAATTACTTATGAATATTCATCTACTACAGGATGCCACCAAGTTCTGCTTTAGGGAACTTCTTTTCAGGGCAAGGAGAGTGCCTTTGGACTTCAACGGCAGTTCCTCCCGGATCTTCACCATAAAGGTAAAGGGAATATAATGGATGGCCTCTCCTGGAACCAGGAATAGTGTATTTATTTCCGGGAAAGACATAYATAGGTTCCCTTAGTGACTGCCTTTTGAAAAAGATACTCAGCCAGCTGTATATTAAAGAATTGCAAATGCAGAGCACCAGTGATTTGCAAAGCTTTAATTAAAATAACTAATACCATTTTATCCTTTGTACTTTCTACAGGTTCTTTGTCACACTTGTGCTCATTTTCTATTTAAAGTTCTGAAACTGACTTTAAAATTTCTGTAAGTAGGAACTTCTATACTATTTTGAAATACAGAGCATTTACATAAGCATTTGTATATGAATACCTCAAGGGAGGGAGTGAGGAGGATGGGGCCGGTCTCTTTGCAGTGGTGGCCACTGATGGAATYGGAGGAAACGGCCACAAGCTGAGGCACCAAAAGTTCCACAGGAACTTAAGGAAAAATTTCTTGACAGTGAGGGTGCCAGAGCCCTGGCACAGGCTGCCCAGGGAGGCTGTGGAGTCTCCCTCTTTGGAGATCTTCCAAACCCGCTTGGACRCAGCCCTGTGCCCCGTGCTCTGGGTGACCCTGTGTGTGMGCAAGGGGTTGGACTCGATGACCTCTGAGGTCCCTTCCAACCTTGGGCATTCTGTGATTCTGTCATTCTTTGGCCTCTAAGTGAAGACAGAGGACAACAACAACAACAAAAAAAAGGGGGGATGAGTTTTTTCATTAGAATGACTGTATCTAGAGCAGCCCTGTCTAGAATACAGAAAAACTAAAAATGATGACCCTGAGTCTCTATCCAATCAGAGGACAAAAGTGACAACTATGAGGCAAGAGAAAATATGCTCTGGAGATCATATGCTTAGGCAACACTGAACATATGGCTGGTGATAAAAAGTATTAATGGCTCTCCCAGAATATAAGCTCATGTCTCCCATAATTTGATGCTGTTGGCTGATACAATAAAAACTATTTAATGCTGTCTGTATAAAATAACAAAAACAACAAAAAATTACTAGAGAAATTGTTGAACATTTTCTTCTGTTGCATTTCCAGGAAAAGTTTGTGAATATGTTGCATTTTACTTGTACCATAGTGTTCAGATGTGGTTTGCACTTAGGATTAGATCTCTCAAAAGCAGCAAAACAAGAAAGTCAACACGCTTTGATGTGATTATCAAAGGAAACCATACACTGAAACAAATGGTGCAGCATTATGGCATTACTCCTCGTGTGCCCATAATGAACTGGAAGCCTGAGATGATACAGCAACACACCACACTGTGTGTCCTGAAGTAACACAACACACACATTGATTTTTTTGTTAAGAATTAGTATTCTCTGTATTTTTCATTATGTTTAACTTTCTAATATTTTAATGTTCATCATGTTAATTTATGAACTAAAGATATTTATGACTGTTTTTAACATAACTAAACTGAGCTCACAGGTGACACTGAAATCACAGAATACACAAATACAGTGATGGTGTCTCCGAGTGAAAATTCTTTGTAAGAGCAGYCTGTTAACCAAATTCCTTAAATACTTTGCCTTAGACACAAGTGTGAGGAATGAGCTCAAGCACTCAGTGTGAGCACCACTGCATGTTTCTGAAAATATTCGTTCCCAGAAAATCCACCTAAGTGTAATCCGGAAAGCCAGTGAGAAGACAGCAGGTTTCAGGGGGTAATTACCACTTCTGCATTGCATGGCCCAAGAAAATTGCAGAATTATGCAGCAAGAATAAAACTATGATTCCGGGATAAAATGGGATGCAAAGTATGTTAGGGTCCACACCTTTGGTCAGAAAAGGCCCTCAGCTACACTTGTGCCCTGCCAGCTAGAGAAACCTGTCATTTAAAAATTTTAATTCATTACTTCAGTGCTGTACTGGTTATGAGAACTTGTGCACTGTTTACCATTCCAATTTCTCTTTGCTCCCTTCTCACAACTGCTGTGGAGAGGTTGTGTCATAGGATTATTTCTGATCATCAGAAATAGGATTATTTCTGATCATCAGTTATCAAAATTCACTCTTTATCATTGCCTTAGTGTTGATAAATAGGCAAAATCGTGCAGGTTTGAAAACACTGTGCAGGAATTTCCAATTCTTGCTGAAACATCTCATTATGTTGCAAGAATTTTCACTTACAGTTTACATTTTTTTTTATAACTGCAGGACTGCCAGAGATTAAGTCTATTCATTAGTGGAATTCATCCATCCTTATAAGCCCACAAGCAAACATGCTTAAAAATACTGGGGTTTGACACAGTTCCAGAAAGCATGTGAGCACAAATCTCAACTTGAAATAAAAGAGCAGTCTAGGCATTTGCAACTGTCTCAGAAACTTCACCCTGCAATTAAACTCCAAATACTGACTGCTAAAATATTTTAATTATCCTCCAAACGGTACCACCTAATGAACTGTTTGCTTCCTGTAACYAACTGGCTGACCAAGAAACGATGGGCAAATTATTTAGCTATCAACTTTCAATAAGCTAAAGAGCAAATATAACTAAAGTGACAAGCAGAACATCATAACAGTTGTGAGAATTAAAATGTTAGAACATTTAGATCCCTATTGTATGTCTGGCAACAGAATTTTTGAACATAATAATATTTGAACTGCGGAAAATTAAGGTAAATGTTTTCTTCTAATGATCCCTTGTAAAAGCAACAACTCTTTAGGGCTCAAGATGCAACTTCACCAATTATTAACTATTTAAGGTCTGAAATTATTATTTAATCCGAATGCACACTCATCTAAATAGAGTGCCAGCCCGTTTGTTGCTGAGCTATAAAGCTGCGGCTGACACAGAACCCAACTTTAGTAAACTGCATAGTGAAAATATCTGCCTGAAGATTGTAAAGAGAGGAAATATGCAGGGAATGTTAACTTTGTTTCTGATCTGTTGGCTCCATTTTCTATCTGACAGACCTGGCAATGCCTAATGTCTTTATTTTGTAAGGAATGTGCAAAAAATGGGAGCAGGTGAAAGGTGTCGTTCACTAGGCACATACTCTGGGGGTATTTTTCTGCTTCTGAAAGTTGGAAATCATCTTGTATTTTGGGAATGAAGTCCTCCTTACAGCCTATGACACACAGGCACATACTCACAGCAAAGGGCTTTCTGCAGCCTTCGGAGCTTCATGGCAGTTCGGTACGCCGAAAATCTGACATTGTTCAGGTCAGCTAAAAGGGGAAAATATTGACATGGAAATTAGCTTCACATCTTAAAAATAACCAGACTCAAGAACAGGTTAAACTAAGCTGATCTGTAACATTATAACCATTGGTTCAAAAACAGAGAAAAAAGATATGTTATATAGTATGAGAAAATGCACTCAAACCTTAAAAATCATTCAAAAGAAAGGCAGCCACTTTTAAGAGAAGTAAGAATCTGAAAAGCCTCCCTCTTTTGGCCAGTGTATCAAGTCAGGTTGCCTGCTAAGCAGTCAAAAAATAAAAAAAAAGAGCCCTACRTAGAATCATGGGGAAAAATGTAGGCAACTATAAGCTACTAGGAAAAATCGAAAACAAAACAGAACAAAAAAAACCAAAAAAAACAAAGACAAACAAAAAAGAACCTATTGTACTTTTCACTTAGATTGATACAGACCATGCTCTGAGATCTAAAATATTTCTGGCAAAAAGTCAGTTTACTCAGCTCGGTAAGCTTTCAGGCACACCTTTGAAATTGTATAGAGCTGATAAGGTTGGGGAGCATGGAGAGGAATTCAAGCTGATAAGAAATAAATGATATAATGAGGTTTTTATTGTAACTTTCTCACGTGGCTGTCAAACATCTGCAAAACTCCTCACTAAAGAGAAAAATATGTCTAAGCGCTGGTTCCAAATTCAGGGCATTATGGAAAGAAAGGCAGGGCACAGAGCAAACCAACCCAACCAGAGCAGTTGCACATTGAACAGAAACATTTGTGAGGCTAAGTAGGAACTATGTAAACATCATTCAATATTCAATTATGAGCTATGTAAACTATTACTGAATAATGTTATCTCAGGTGCAGGAAGCAAACACTAGACCAAAAATGAACAGAAAGCTGAGATTTTGGTCAAAATGTGTTTTGGACCAAGTAGACGCAGGAAAATGCATTTGTATCTCTGTTCCAATGGGCTCTGAGAAAGACCGAGGAAGGCCCGTTTGCTCTAGCACCGGCTCTGGCTTTGCTAAGAGCAGCCTTAGGCAGATCCAACTACACCAAGGCTGAAGATGGACTTCCTGGAACCAGGGAGCCCAGGGCAGCGCCTGCCTCTGGCCACGGGCCGCTGCGCGCGGCCACATCAGCAAACCCAGCCCCTGCTGCTCGAGGCTGCAGCTGCTTGCAAGGGACACGGGCCATCCACGGGGCTGCTTTGGGAGCAGGGCAACCGGTGCTGTTCCCACAGGAAGCAGCTGTCACTTGGCAGGGACATAACCGGGCAGCTGCCCGGGGTCTGGAGCAGCGTCCGAGGGCGCTGCCGAGCACTGCCGCGCGCCCCAGCCCTGCTCTGGAAAAGCCTCCGGAGAAGGTCCTGGGCAGACCTGCTCCGGTCTGAACTGGGCTTTGGAGCAAATGATCTCCAGAGGTGCCTGCTATGTTGTGTCCAAGCGGTTCCTGGGCATGGATACTCACAGGATACGCTAAGGACCATCCTACAGAACGCCCTTGCTCTACAGAAAWGGCTTGTTCTGGGCTGGTTGGCTTCAGTGCCCAGCAAAATTTGTGGCTGCCTTTAATTCACCAACGCTGATGGAACCTGTGCGGTCTATGGAGTCAGCCGTGGGAAAACAGCAGCTTTGGAAWCATCAACCACTGGGCAAATAGAGGAAAAACATAAAAAAGCGTGACTAGTTCAGAACAAAGGTCTGCTTAGTGTCTAGGAGCAGAGAGAGAAGATTATGAAAATATTATGAAAAATAAGGCAAACGAAACAATTCTTTGCTGCCATATGCACTGGATTTCTCTACGGCCCTTTGCAATATAATGTTGGGTATCCTGGTATCATCTACAGTGTTGCACAAGTTTGAGTAGCAGAGGGAATACAGGTTCAGCTTAAWAACTATATTTAATTAACCTGTTCTGAATGAACAGCCTGAGGTTCGATAATTCAATAGTCTTGTGCATCTAAATAAAAACGAAGAAGGGTCTCTAAACATTATGTCTTACAAAAGAAGTGGAAAACTTTGGGCTTTGTAGGCAATTTYGTTTTCTTTTCCCAGTTCCCTATACGTTGCTAATAAGCAGGCCTCAAGCGGACTGTTGCTGCCAGCCCTCCCTCCCCTCCTGCCTCCCTCAGTAACACTGACAGGTCCAGAAACGCTAATGCGGTGTGGAATAAACTGTGTAATTTCAATGAAGTCACTTAATCTCTGCTGAAGGCAAATTAATAAAGCAGTCCCTTGCCAACACACTGTGACTTCATCTTCATCTGGTACCCTTGCTGTAACCCTGTACTTGTATTCTGGAAAAGAAAAAATATCCCCAGAAATAACAATTTGGTTTGTTAAAAGTGAGACTGCAAAATTAACTGCACTGGAGATTAATATAGACTGGATTATGCATAGCATGGATAAAAATGAGTAAGCATCCCCTAAAACGCCTTTGAGTATTCCGAGAAAGCTTTGCTATTTAAATTTCACACGGTAAGAAATATTAACCTGTACGCATATTTCCTGTGTACAGGGCAGAAAGTGCAATTCCCGAAGTCGCTTAATCCCAGCAGTGCTACAGTCTGTCTCACCGCAGAGCCGATGCCCACTGCATTTCCTGGCACGCTTCGGGGCAGGCCTTGCGGGGCACCTGCAGCAGGCGGGTGCAGCAGTTTCCTGCCCCATCGCGCACGGGCTGCAGCTGCCCGTGGGTGCAGCCCCGTGCCCGTGGGTGCCCGTGGGTGCCCGTGGGTGCCCGTGCAGCTCTGGGTGCTGAGCTGCCACCCGGGCACCGCGGGAGCCGCTTCTGGCGGAGGCAGCTGCTCCCGCTCTGTGCTCGCCCTGCTCACCCCCGTGCTCCCATCCCATACAACATCGTTGCTTTGGGTTTTACACCCAGCACCTTGGCCTTTTCACTTTATTATTTTCTTCTGTATTCAGGGCTCCTTTAGCCTTTTTCCTCACCCCACTCTCCAATTTGTGCTTGTCCCTTTCATCTATTCACTACCTACTCTTTTTTACTTTTTTTCCCATTTCCACTGTGTAACAAAACCGGCACATGCTAGTTATTTTAAATTCAAAAGTCTCTCCAACTAATAAAAGATTTTATGKCTCTTGAAAGATTACTGTGTTAGTATTTTATAACTAGAAGACAGGAATTCAAATTCTTAGCTGGACTGCAAAGAGAAAGTTGTTCCTTGGAGAGGGCGCAGCAGTGAATTCCCACAAAACAGGGGCAGCTGCAACCAGCAGGTAGGTGAGAGCAGCACGTAAGGATTCCCAAAACTAACTCCCCATTTCCACCTTAYGCTGCCAGGGTTGGTTAGACAGGTAGCTTTAGAATCCCCCAATTTCAGTAATTTCCCCCTGYCACAAATCTTTAATAATTTAGCTTTTTCTCCCTACTCCTGCACAACTCTTAGTGTCGCTGGTTTTCATCCGAAACTGCTGGTGGAAGCAACAGCTTGTTCCGCAGGGGAAAGGGGGAGCCCTTCTCTTCTAATGCGGCTCGAAATATTTTTCCTGCTGGCCCAGGACTTCCCCTAAGACTCCTTAGGCAGGAGCCTAAGGCAGAAAAGGGAAAAGATGCGGCTGGGTAACTCGGCTGGGGAAGCCGGTAGCATCAGGGGCAGTATCAGCACTGAGAGCAATGGGGGACATTGGCTGGAAGGAATGTCCCCCGCCATTGACTGGGAACACGGGGAGGTGGAGGAGGAAGGAAAGACCTTCCCAGAGCCTGTAGGAACACAAGCGGTTCTTCCATTCCTGAGGTTTTGCCTTCTGGCTCCTGAGGGAAAAATCTGACGCTTTCTTCACTCCCAAAGAGCCCACTGAATAGTCAGGACCCACTAAGTGCTACCTGCAGAGTTTTTATAATCTCGGAGCAGGCAGGAAAACTATGTATACACAGCATGCTCCTCTCCAGCCTTTCCCTCCCGCTCCCAAGGGGAATGCGCAGTGTCATCACTTGAAGGAGGTGATTAAAAGTCTGAGAAGCCCTTGAGCTATGAGACTTCTGCAGATCATTTTAATGATATCCCACCCCATCCCTACTCCTCATTGCTCAGAAGTAACTTTCAAACATAGATCAAAAAAATGCAAATGCTCAAGAGCACAAACTGCTTAGGTTCTCAGTAACCCCACAGTGGAAAAGGTTACCTGGGCCGTGGAGAGCAGCACACCRAGGAAGAGAACACACTCGAATGCCTGTTATTAATATTTACATGTAGGAATAGGAAGAAATCATGGCGCTCTATTCCCTCAGCCAGGAATGGACCCTCTGCTCAAAGGGGTATAAATACTTCTAGGGAAGCAGCCCTAAGATTTAGGGACAGAAGCACCGTGAGACAGACAGGGCAGATGGCTACGACTTGTCCCTACACAGCAGCAGATCCACGGGGCAGATCCTGCCACAGCAGGCACAGCAGTGAGATGCCTCCATGATCTTTGCAGGTCCTACTTCAGTTATGTCCTTTGCCTCAGCAAGTCAAATGTCTTTATGAAAGGAATTCAGGGCACTAAACCATAAATAAGTCCCCAAAACTAAGAAGGCTACTCCTTTAAACATCTCTAGTGMCTCCACTTGCTCCATGATAACTAAAACAGAAGTGAGAAGTTGAAAACTGATTTCTTCCATGTCCATCAGCTGCCTACAAACTATTCAGCAAGAACTAGTGCCCTTGTTATACATTCAACTTGAATGGAAGGGACTCCAAACTGTTCATAGTACAAATTAAAATCAGAACTATTAYTGAACCATCACCTCTCCTGCATAACCCTGCACGCGTGCGAGGGGTCCCGGAACACCAGGGCTACCTCCTTCCTCACGGGACAGCACCAGCAGCAYGCTTTGCAGCGCCCCATTTCCAGGGCAGGGCAGAAACAGCACTAAATACACCGAGCAGCTCCTCCCGGCACTGAATGGGCAGGTAAAATCTCCCCTRTTTCAAAAGTGTTCAACGGACTGAACATCAACAATCACCTGGAACATTTGGTTTTATTCCGAAGTAGCACTTGTCTATGATCCAGACAAGGGAGTGTT